GGCTACTCAAATATTTTACGTTTTTGATACTAAATTAACTTCTGAAGTATAATTTTTTATTGTTTTTATATTTTTCAATATATTTATTTTGTTTGTACAAAATAAAAAAATAATTTTTAACGATACAATAGTCTTCGTTAGGCTTAACATCGACGAAAATTCAACGCGAAGCGACACGCAACAGAGAAAAATTTCAACACGGGATAAATTAATATATTTTTCCGTACATAATTGGTTATCCGAAAAATAAGTTATCCGAACAACCCGAGTCCCCAATTGATTCGGATAAACGATATATATACAGTACTGTATCCATGATTTTCAAATTGTCAAAGGCTGTAAGATTAGAAGAAGAAATAAACGATAAAGTTCTTTTAATTAGTAGCGAGTAATTAATAATCAGATAGATTTTCCAATTTTTTATCCACATTAGATAAGATCGCAACTATTATGTAATTGCATATAGGTAAAAATGTAACTGCTGTTACTTAAATAATTCAATAATTTCATATTATTTTTCCAGGTTGCTGAGGATTTTCAGTAAAATGGTAATAAAAAGTTTGTATTCGTTTATTAAAGATAAAAAGCTTGGTACTAAAGTCTCCTTACAAACACTGGCAGAAGAATTTATACAGAAACATCAGGAAACTCCTACCATATTTATCGACTGTTCAAATATACATATATTATATCATTTCAATAATAAATACTCAAAATATGGATGGAATTGGAATATGATTGTAAAAAGATTCAAAATCTTTGTTAGAAATTTACGAGAAATAGGAATAGAACCCAAGGTCTACTTCAGAGGCAAATTTGGTGGTTTTGATGCAAAAAAATGGATAAATTGGGTAGAAACTGATTACAATATCGCCTGTAAAATTTACGAATCTATAGATTCAAATGAAAAATCTGATATTAAAACGCTTAATTATGATCTTACATATTTTCGCTTCATTTTAAAATACGAATGCAAATGTCAAGTGTATAATATAATAGAAAATATATATCCAAAACTTGCTGACATTGCTGCAAAGCAAGATAATTGTTTAGGAATAATTTCTATGAATTTGGAGTATATACTATTCGATACGAAACCATATTTCACATTCTATAAGATGGATTTCGATAACCTGTCAACAGATATGTTAAATGCATCTGAATTAATCAGGGAAACAAGCTTAAATCTCTCTCAATTGAAACTTCTTAGCTGTTTACTAGGAAATGAACTAATACCGAAAGAAAAGATGCTTCCTTTCTATGAAATAATAAATTATGTTTCTATAACTCCATCAGAACAAGTTCAGAAAGTTATAGAACTAATTAGACGTAACAATTGGTCTGGATCATTCGATGAATTACCTGAAATTTCAAGAGTTACTGGTATCGAAGAAGAATTTTTGCATAAAGGATTGTCTTCTTATCAGATTTGTTTTCAAAACAATACAGATGAAGACGATTCTTATCCATCATCACAAATATTGAAAACAATAGAAGAAAAATGGAAAAGAAGCGAAGTTCCATCAGGATTTTATGACATTGTAAAAAGGCATATCTTTGTAGATAAAAGCAATTTAGAAGACAGCATGGACGGTACATTTCCACGTACTGCTCTCTTATACAGACCGATGAGGCAAAAAATGTATCGTGTGATATTTGGAAATGATAATGTTGTAGTAAATGAATGGTGCATGTACGATCAATCTAATTATGATGAAGCAGATGAAGTAACCATTCACGAAGAAAGATTTGACGGTAGGACTTATTGATTGTATGTAAAATTGATCTACCTAATTCTAATCGTTTTAACATTTTGCAGGATTCATTCCTCCTCTTGATGAACTCTTAAGTAACAACATAGAATTACAGACGACTCGTTGGAAACTGTTTCTTTATTGTTTAGATATACAAATTTCTATGGAAACGCTTCAGAAACTCAATCCTTCTCATGTCAGTTTGTGTTGTATTTTAAACTATATGCTGAAAAATGGAGTAAAGTTGAAGAAACGAGAACTGATGGCATTTATCTGTCAAGCTCTTCATCCGTTAAATGAAAACAAAAGATTATTAAATTGGATGAATGTAAGGAAATATTATAATTATATATTTAGAACGTTAAATTAATATCACAATAACGATTTGAATTTTATAAATATAATTAAAACTTATTATAATTCAACTAATATTATACAGGTAGAATTTTCCTCTACGACACTTCGATTGTGCAATTTACTGGAACGTGGAATATACAATTTGATGTATATAGTAACTGCGTGCGGATTTCCATTTCGTTTAAATGGTGTCATGCCCTGGAAAATTTTCAACAGGAAAATATTTCTTCACGTTTATGAAGAGTTACACAAAGAAAATGGCATAGAAACCGTCTCAAAAGGACTGGTAAAAGTACTTCTATAATCTTCATAACTTTATTTACAATGGATAATGATACGAATTATTTTCTTGCAGGAAAGAAATGCGAAATTATTTCGTAGTCTTGTTGATATAGTCATAGCAGACATGAACACATAATTTAATTACTGTTGTAAATGTATTTGAAAATAAAATGCAGCATTACACGAAGTAGTTTAGTTTGCATGTTATTTAAGAATTTAGTTACATTTAATCTTTTGATAATCATATAATAATATAATTGTAGTAATAACATTATAATTTTCGAAGTAATATAATAATTAATATAATAAGTAAAAACGAAGATATAAACATTTTACTGAGATGAATTAATAAATCGTGTTGAACACTCCGTGGCACAATAAAAGAGAATGCATGAGCGATATTTCATCACTGAAATAATTATATATTTTTTTTATGAAATACAATAGAAGCAGCATAATAGTTATACAAATCTCAGCATTCTTGTATCGATTCAAATATGTGTTTTGTATAGTTTGAATAAACATAATTCAACAATAAATTTTATCAAAATATTATAAATAATTATTAGGAAAATTGTTTCCAGTAATTATTAGATAAAGAGTATAATGTTGAACGGATAATTTTACAAGTTTCCGGTTAAACATTCGTGTATAACATAATTAAATATATAACTGTAAAAACAAAGTAGCAAGTCGCGGTATTATAATTAAAATTAGGTAAACATATAATTTTTCACTTAAAAACACATTTTATGTAGCATTTATATCACCTAAATAATGTTTAATGAAAATACAATATACACCTAAACCAACATTTATATTACTATATAACTAGCCACTTACATCATGATTGCAATAATTACAAAAATCATTCAGGAAAACTGATAAATAGTTAGCATTCATATGGTAATAACAGTAATGACAGGAACGTTTAAGCTCGTATAGGGTTGAGAAATATCTTGTGCAAGGTGGAAACTAGTCAGAAAAATAAAAAATGCGATTGTTTGAACTCTCGAAAGAATAAATTCCTATATTATCTGTTTTTCAAGACTTTAACTTCTACTTTTCGGTTATTCCATGTGAGACTTTTAAAGAATATATACAGTCGACTCCCCTATAACACTGTTGATTATTCCGTTTTATATGAATTCCATGTTGTACGAGTCACTTAGATTTTACAAATACGTGTGCCGGGATGTGAACGGCTTACGTATTTGTAAAATCTAAGCGACTTGTGAGTGCCTGTACAGTACATGCATTTTCATTACTAATGTATATTCATTACATAGGAGAACGTATACGCAGATCATACGTATTCATTAAGAAGATAATACTGAATTTAAATTTTTTTTTATTTAAAGCAATATTATGGAAAATGTTAAAATTACGAAAAATCCTATTTAATTTCATTATATAACTTGTGACGTTGAGAAAATTTTCATTTATATTACCTTCAAAGATTCACAAACAACCAGTGACAAATTGAAAATTTAATCCTGGGAACCGAGTTCAAAAGATAAAAATCTTTTTAATGCGAATTCAATAACATTCCCATCTTATGTGACGGTTAATTCACAAGTAGTGTAGAAATACAACACACGACTCTAAATATAAAAACAATATTAATTAGGAATAGATTTTCGAAAATATCGTAATATTTGTCTTTTTCTCTTTATATGTTGCTAGAGCATCTTGGTCACCCCCTACGGCTGTAACACTACAGACAAAGAAACATGAATGTAAATATCGAAGAAGCAACTTGTATGAGTTGTTTTCTTTCACCCTGTTGGTCAATAGCCCTCATTTATGATTTGAATTTTATGCAGATATGTTCCTGTAAACAGCCAATTTGCGAAATTAATAATGAGATTTTTTTTATTAAAATTAATTAATCGTTTCAAAGTTGTAGTGCACGGATTTGACTTCGGTAAAGTTATTTAAAGCTACTTTCTGATGTCAAAAACGACCTCCAATAGTTTTTTTAATTTTTTTAATTAATATATTTTATTATATATAAGTTTTATTAAATCGGGGGGTCGGAAATCGCGATTAAAATTTTAATTTTTTAAAAATGTTTTAAAATATAGGTGTAGCTAGTATTCACCCTACTTTAAACCCTTCTTCTCCTCCCGAGAAGTCTATGAGAATGTCCCGGAAAATACGACACCGGCTGTTCTCAAGGTCATCCAGCTGTGTAAACAATGACACATCGGTGTCAAATTTCGCAGAAAGGTGAGACAATGGAAAATAAAGTTTGAAGCTTTTTCTTCAAAATTAACGCATTTCTTTCGTTTTTTTTTCCAGTTTTAAGTAGTTTTTATGTTTAATTAAAAATTCCTTTAAAACATTCGTGCGTCGAGTGGTTAAATATCCGAAGCTAAAGATCATCTATATTCAATTTCTTCAGTTTTTATTCTGGCAAAATACTGCTGTTTTATTACGGCAATCGATGCAAATTTTAGGTGAATCTGCAATGTGTACTGGATTGCTTGACGTGTTCAAAAGTGATGCTAAAATAATAAAAACATATTTTTTAGAAGTGTTCCTAACTTATTCAATCACTTTTTCTTTTATCAGCCATAACAAGTTTAATATGATCAAAGAATTAAGAAACAGATACTTTTATGAAAAAAATTATTCTTGAGAATAATGCTCTGATGAGAAACGTCTGTCTTGTTTTCTCTTTAATTATCATTTTAGTAATTATTAGTTTTCAAGTTGTCCATATGACTGTTTTCTATCGTGCTTTTGCAAAAAATCAACAGTCTCAATTTGAAGCCTTTTTTTGTTCCATCGAACAAGAAGTGGTAATAAGTGTAATAATAGGAGGAATAGCATACGGTCTACTGTTATTCGTTTTATTATTACTTGTTTTTCAAAAAGAATTTGAAGAACTTTTTCGCGAATTGTCTAAGATAAGAAGAAACGACAGAGATCTGAAAATAAAGTTAAAATTTGATGAGCCGTCATGAAGAATTATGGATTTGTACAATTCAGTTAAACACAAAATACAAACTGGCTGTCGTATTCGTTTATTTCGGAATAATTTGGGCAACGAGTGTTTGGTACTACGCATATTTATATCTCGATATGCCAGAGTCGTTTAGAATTTGGGTTTTGATGATGATGATTTTTTTTCTGTTATCTGCATTATAATTGGCTGTTTGTTATGCTGCATCGCTTTTACGGTACTTTTACATTACTTTTAATAATGTTTTATTGCTGAATTTTACTTATTAATGTAATTTTTACTTTTCAGATGGAAAATGGATTTCAAAACATTCGACAATTTGGGATTTGTAATTTGCAATTGCATGAAAAGTTAAAGTACAAATATCTTTTGAATTTATTTTGATAATAAGTTAATTTTTGTATATAAAAAGATTAATAATAAATATTAATTTTTTTCTTAGATATTGAATTTTATGAAAAGATTAGGAAAAGTCTCATTGTGTCTGTAGATTGGATGTTTCTTCTGCATCAACTAGAGAATACCTTTCAACGTAATTTTACTAACTGAACTGTTTTAATATTGTATAAAAAGTAATATTCACGAGGTTTTAAAATAATGAGTGTTTTTCGCAATTTAAAAATAACACGATGATAAGTAACTGACATGAAAATTGGTGACCATCACCATTAGTGGCGATTTTTGAGATACAGGTAACCCCCGTATAACACGGCACTTCTATAGCACGGATTCGCTCTAACACGGTTCGAGAATTGGTACCATCCCCCGTATAACATGGCACTTTTATAGCACTGATTCACTCTAACACGGTTCGAGAATTGGTACCATCCCCCGTATAACACGGTCCTTTTATAGCACTGATTCACTCTAACACGGTTCGAGAATTGGGAACATCCCTGTATAACACAGTGCTTTTATTCGAGTGCAATTAATTCGAGATGTAACAGAACGATTACTATCGATGCATTTTATTTCCATCATGCGCTAAAAGATGGTAAAAATTTTTTCCGCTCTGGCTAATTTATTGTTATGCCTGAGCCCCTAATATAAATGAAGTAATATCATCATGTAGTGTACAAAATTGTAGAACTTTATGTATTTACTGTATGCAACTAATATTCATTAAAAACGTGTTATAAATTATAACATAGATATAAGTGCGTCATGAAGTAATACATAATATTTCAGATGCACCTATATATGTATACATGTTATGTGTATGAGTTTCAGTATACATATATACAGTCATACCTCCCGTAGGATTGCGAATCTACGATACGACTCTAGTATGATGGCAAACAAACCATTTCAGCATCTGTAATTTGAATTATTACTACTACTTTCATATTTTAAATTGCACATTCCAATATGATTTTAAACTACAACTTAAAAGTCTTTCAAATACAGAGTATTTATTATTTTCGTTTAGTCGCAACACTTTGTGCTTTGATACATTTGGGAAATTTCAGGGATGTAAGAACACGTAATGCGCGTAGAAATAATAATACTGTAATAATAATTTAAAAACTACAATACTATTTTAAACTAAAAATTTCTTCCTTTATAACAAAACTTTATGACATAAATTGAAAATTGCTATCGGTCGGGTAATTGNCCGAAGCTAAAGATCATCTATATTCAATTTCTTCAGTTTTTATTCTGGCAAAATACTGCTGTTTTATTACGGCAATCGATGCAAATTTTAGGTGAATCTGCAATGTGTACTGGATTGCTTGACGTGTTCAAAAGTGATGCTAAAATAATAAAAACATATTTTTTAGAAGTGTTCCTAACTTATTCAATCACTTTTTCTTTTATCAGCCGTAACAAGTTTAATATGATCAAAGAATTAAGAAACAGATACTTTTATGAAAAAAATTATTCTTGAGAATAATGCTCTGATGAGAAACGTCTGTCTTGTTTTCTCTTTAATTATCATTTTAGTAATTATTAGTTTTCAAGTTGTCCATATGACTGTTTTCTATCGTGCTTTTGCAAAAAATCAACAGTCTCAATTTGAAGCCTTTTTTTGTTCCATCGAACAAGAAGTGGTAATAAGTGTAATAATAGGAGGAATAGCATACGGTCTACTGTTATTCGTTTTATTATTACTTGTTTTTCAAAAAGAATTTGAAGAACTTTTTCGCGAATTGTCTAAGATAAGAAGAAACGACAGAGATCTGAAAATAAAGTTAAAATTTGATGAGCCGTCATGAAGAATTATGGATTTGTACAATTCAGTTAAACACAAAATACAAACTGGCTGTCGTATTCGTTTATTTCGGAATAATTTGGGCAACGAGTGTTTGGTACTACGCATATTTATATCTCGATATGCCAGAGTCGTTTAGAATTTGGGTTTTGATGATGATGATTTTTTTTCTGTTATCTGCATTATAATTGGCTGTTTGTTATGCTGCATCGCTTTTACGGTACTTTTACATTACTTTTAATAATGTTTTATTGCTGAATTTTACTTATTAATGTAATTTTTACTTTTCAGATGGAAAATGGATTTCAAGACATTCGACAATTTGGGATTTGTAATTTGCAATTGCATGAAAAGTTAAAGTACAAATATCTTTTGAATTTATTTTGATAATAAGTTAATTTTTGTATATAAAAAGATTAATAATAAATATTAATTTTTTTCTTAGATATTGAATTTTATGAAAAGATTAGGAAAAGTCTCATTGTGTCTGTAGATTGGATGTTTCTTCTGCATCAACTAGAGAATACCTTTCAACGTAATTTTACTAACTGAACTGTTTTAATATTGTATAAAAAGTAATATTCACGAGGTTTTAAAATAATGAGTGTTTTTCGCAATTTAAAAATAACACGATGATAAGTAACTGACATGAAAATTGGTGACCATCACCATTAGTGGCGATTTTTGAGATACAGGTAACCCCCGTATAACATGGTACTACTATACAAGGTCTGTTCAAAAAGTATCGGACCTTTTTTTTTCCGCGTAAACCAATGATGCGAGAGAGGCCTCCTTCGGTGGAGTTGTGGAGGGGACAGTCATGCACAGCCCTGAATTTTTTCCCGCCTGCAGGAAGCGTCAGTCGTTGGCAATCGGCGTATGAGTGAGGTCATGTAGTGCGCTCTCGTCGGATTTCACTAAGCTGGAAAATGCCTGAACAATGTGAGCAGCGATATTACATCAAATTTTGCCAAAAACCTTGGCGATACCCGTGTGTAAACCATTCGCGAGATTCAGCAGGCTTTCGGGGACGATCCTCGAGGCCAAAAAAAGCGCGGCAGGTCCGCAGCAATATCAAAGGTCATGTTGACAGTTTTTTCGACTCTCGTGGGGTGGTGTGTCGTGAGTACGCACCACAAGGCCAAACCATCCCAAAGGAGTACTACCAGGAGGTCCTTCGTCGTCTTTCCGATACAGTGCGATGCAAACGATGGGATCTGTGGTCGATCAAAACTTGGCAGCTCCATCGTGATAACGCATCCGCCCATTCTGCGCATCTGATTCGGGCTTTCGTCGCCAAACACAATACTCCTGTGGTTCGTCACGCTCCGTACTCTCTCCACATGGCTCCGTGTGACCTTTGGCTATTTCTCAAGCTGAAAATGCCGCTAAAAGGAACCCAAATTTAGTCGAGAGAAGACATCATGCGAAATGCGACGGACCGGCTGATAACCATTCCAAAAGATGCGTTCCAGCAGTGTTTCCAGCAATGGCAGGAACGCTGGAAGAAGTGTATACATTACCAAGGAGACTACTTTGAAGAGGATTAGGGTTTTGTACCTCAAAGTCAATAAATTTATTTTTGCCGACCAAAGGTCCGATACTTTTTGAACAGACCTTGTAGCACTGATTCACTCTAACACGGTTCGAGAATTGGGAACATCCCTGTATAACACAGTGCTTTTATTCGAGTGCAATTAATTCGAGATGTAACAGAACGATTACTATCGATGCATTTTATTTCCATCATGCGCTAAAAGATGGTAAAAATTTTTTCCGCTCTGGCTAATTTATTGTTATGCCTGAGCCCCTAATATAAATGAAGTAATATCATCATGTAGTGTACAAAATTGTAGAACTTTATGTATTTACTGTATGCAACTAATATTCATTAAAAACGTGTTATAAATTATAACATAGATATAAGTGCGTCATGAAGTAATACATAATATTTCAGATGCACCTATATATGTATACATGTTATGTGTATGAGTTTCAGTATACATATATACAGTTATACCTCCCGTAGGATTGCGAATCTACGATACGACTCTAGTATGATGGCAAACAAACCATTTCAGCATCTGTAATTTGAATTATTACTACTACTTTCATATTTTAAATTGCACATTCCAATATGATTTTAAACTACAACTTAAAAGTCTTTCAAATACAGAGTATTTATTATTTTCGTTTAGTCGCAACACTTTGTGCTTTGATACATTTGGGAAATTTCAGGGATGTAAGAACACGTAATGCGCGTAGAAATAATAATACTGTAATAATAATTTAAAAACTACAATACTATTTTAAACTAAAAATTTCTTCCTTTATAACAAAACTTTATGACATAAATTGAAAATTGCTATCGGTCGGGTAATTATAAATTTACATAAAATTATACTAATTACTTCCGCACGCAGTTTCGAAATGGTAATTATTTTCTGTTTACTATTTTATAAAAATAATTTCAATATTCCAATATTGATTTTTTGTCCTCAATTTCTAAAATTGTTAATGTAAATTAAATATAATTAATAGTTTTACTTCGTACAAAGTTTAAATCATAGTCTATAAAGTTTAAATTAATATACAACACGCCCCAATCGAAATCGATAAGAAGC